CTTCTCTCTCTCTCTCTCTCTCCATCTATATATATCTATTTCCATTTTTTTATTTTTTATTACACACGGTTTTTATTTTTTACAATTTTCTAATCGCGTTTCGTAAGTGTTGTTGGAGCCATTGCTGTTTTGAAAAAGCTTTCACTATGGTTTGTTACCTAGCCAGGGGATAGGGGATAGGGGTGAGTGGTGAGTGAAGAAAACATTTGAAAAGATTTCTAACCTCCTCTCACGTGTGCACATTACGACGCATGCTTTAGCAGGCAGATTGAAAGACAATGCGGTCAATGAACAAACACACAAAAACACAAACAGAATTGTGCAAAACGCTTGTGTTGCACATTTCCATTGAAGTCCAAGGGGCCAAACATGCTGTAATCTGCCAAAAAGAAGCTCATGTGCTTTTTCCAGTGTTCAGCATTTTACAGCTTGCAACAAAATGCTCAGGTGTGAACAAAGGCCATTGAAATTAATGGGATTTCTTGCGTTGAGAGTTTTGTAGCGCTTAGCTTTGAGCGTCAATATGCCTAGGTGTGAACGGGGACTTAAGGGAACTCTCATACATTAACGGTTAATAGGATAATAATAATAATAATAATAAAAAACACCATCAGCTCTACTGGCTAGCTGGAATGTATTCAATCCAACTGTTCAGGATGCTACAATAGTTACATTAGACAGTTACCTGCTCTCTGGGGTAAGCAATACACTGGATCCGGCTTCCTGAAGTCATCCTGCAGCTTCTATGCAAGAAAAAGAAGAGAGAGTATTATATGGCCAGTCATCTAACCGCATATGAGGGTAAAAGGTGAAGAATGGATAAGTGTGTGATACCTGAGATTCTTTGTAATATCCATCACCCTTTATCTGCATACTCTCCACCTCTTGCTCGCCTTCAGGCTCTCCACCGATATCCTCACTGAGCATTTCATCAGCCTTTTCTATGATGTCTTTTACCTGCTCGACAAAAGAGTCTCTCTCTATGGCCAGGATGAAGACATTCTGAACCTGGTTTTCAAAAGAAAAAAAAAGGTACGGAGACTGTTTGGTGACAGTAATGGCACCTACCCTCATCATACATCACCCATGTTACGCACCATGATGGTTGCTATTTCCTCTGGATTGTCCCCATCCAGGTCAAATTTGAAGGTGACCATCTTGCGGTTGTGTGTTTCCAGCTGACATTCCACTACTCTGTCTCCTTTGTTTGATACCTACAAAAAAGGGAAAAAAAAATTACCTTGTGATGATATGTAAAGGAATCTGGTCCTTTCAACCTCTGTGTATGATCGGTAACAAATGAGCATAACCACTAAATCTATAAACACAACATTAATCCAGGCATCTTTTCTTTTTATATCTAAAGCCAACGCTATATTTTCCAATTTTATATAGCAAGGAAAGGGTTAAAACTAGGTGTACCGAAATGAAATTTGCAAAACCAAAACAAAACAGTCAGGTCAAAACCGAATTATTATTTTTTTCTCTAACCTTTTCAAGTTGTTTTAAATATTTTATATTTATTTTTATTACATTTCTTTTTTACTTTACTGTCGGGGGCTCTGAGGAAATAGAGGTCTTAAACAGACCCCTGATATTTCCCTTTAAAAACAGAAAAAGAGATTGAGAATGGAGTCCTCAATCTCTTTCTGCCAGTGCCATTTTCGGCCGATATGTTTCGGCGGCCGAATTTTCAGTGCATCTTTCGTAAAAAAAACTGACGAGGTTCTAACCATTCTTCAAGATCAAAAAGGCTTTTTGGGTTTTTTTGCCATCTGTGTCTCTTTGGAGAGATTTCCCTTCACGTCCAGTTGAATCAACCGGAAGTGAAAGGATACCTTTATGTGAGGGAAATCCCCTTTTAGTTGTTACCAGAGCAGGTGTCTCCATTAGAAGATCCCCCCTTCATTCCTGTTCTGGTGGCAACTCAATATTTTGAATTTCCCCTTTCATTGAAAATATTTCCAGTGACACTGGTGATCATGACAACTACAGAGCATAAAAACGCACTGCAGTTCTAACACCTCATCAATCTATCTAAATCTTTAAAAAAATATAAAAATAAACTTGCCTTTCAATATACTTTAACTGTCCTCACAAATTCCAGAATTCCACCTAAACCATCTAAACTCAAGAACAAAAATGTAATATTGCTTACCAGTTCTTAGATATGATGGCTGCATTAGTTTTTTTTCAGACATATCTCACATTATTTTCACCTGGTGATTCTGCCAGTAACACCCCTCCTGTCTGAGGGTGACAGGGCTGCCAATAACACACTTCCTGTCCTAGGGTGCCAGGGCTGATTACACTACTTGGGATTTCAGTATAGCTCAGGCAACATTGTTTGATCATTTAAGAAAGTAACAAGCTCATTGGATTTCTGGAAGGACGGGTATATTGAACTAAACAAACCGGTATTACAAGATGCTTTCAATGGTATATTTAGCAACCCAAAAAGGAGGAAATTGAAGTTTTTGTTAGTGTTTGCATACACCAAGTTCTATTGTGAAAGATATGCATGTCATCCCTTGAGGACCTTTTCTATGGTGTAGCTGCAAAAATAGATTTTTTTCATAGCGTAAAATCCTTTTCGCAGAGTCCATTGAAGGACACAGCTCCGAAGAATTCGGAGACATAGGGGTGATGCTGCTGCCTCTAGGAGAAATGGACACTAGGCAAGTAAATTAAAAGCCTGCCACTTTAAGGACATAACCACTCCCGCGTCACACCTGCAAGTTGCAGCAAGCAGTATTATAAAGGAAAAGATGGAAGGGAGGTTTGTCCCTCAAGGGACTCAGAGAAAAGGATTTTACCGTAAGACAAATTCCTAATTTCTCTGTAGTCCGTTGAGAACACAGCTCTGAAGAATTCTGAGACCTAGGGACGCTCAAAAGCAGCCCAAAACCGAGGGGTTGGCACCCTAACAGGTAAAGAACCAGTTCAACAAAAGGGAACTGTAAAAATACAATCAAAAAGCTGCCTGATTAACTTTTCTGCCAAATCATCATCAACTTGCATCAGAAGAGGCAGAAACATCAACTTTATAAAACTTTGGTCCTTGAGACAACAGATCTGATTGGTCTGGAAAAGACCAGAAATGGCCTGCCAACAGACTAATCAAAACCTCACCCTGCAAGGCCAATCTGGAGTAATGAGAATGACTGGAATTACTGCAAAGCAGACGATACATTAGTGTCAGTGGAGGAAAGGCAAACATCAGGGTGTATTGATCCCACAAAGCTATCAAGGGATCCATCATTGGATCCCATGCTCTGGACACAAATCTGTACATCTTGTAGTGGCGAGAAGCTAGGAGATCCACATCCAGAGTTACCCAACACTGTCAAAGTTGTTGTAACACCTCTGGAAGAAGAGACCACTCTACCGGATCCAAACATTGTTTGAGAAAGTCCGCCTGCCTGTTTTCGGCTCCTGGAATGTAGACTGCCGAGATCGCTGGAACATAAAGTTCTGCTCATTCCAAGATTGAATGAACCTCCTCCGCAGCCGACACTCTCCTGGGTGCCTCCCTGATGATTGATGTAGGCCAATGACGACGTGGCATTGTTCAACTGATTTCGAAACTGGGCAACCAGTCAGAAGATGGGCCCACTGACACAGCAGACAAGTTGCCTGCAACTACAAAACATTGATCAGAAGTTTGGATTTCTCCAGAGCCCAACAACACTGCACAGACAAGATGATCCAAGACACTGCCCCATTCCACAAGACTGGCGTCCGTTATGACAATCTTCCATGTTATGGGAAGAAACGACTACCATTGTCAACGCAGGTGATGTCAACGATTACGACAGAGATATCTTGGCCGGGGCACTTAATCTGATCATCAGCTAAGAAGGTAGAAAAGGAGCCGTTGTACTTGCGGTTGACAGCAGATCAATAGAAAGTGGCCATGTCACAAAAAAAATGTATGTTTTTCTCAAAAAAAGAGGCCAAAAAAATGAGACAATCCATGGAATATCACCGCAGGCTCCAGTGTGAAACAGTGTGATTCAGTTCCAAAAATCCCAGAAGATGGCTGTGCAGCACGCACCTGCACAGTAGAGTATTAAGTGTGTCCTCATCTTAAAGTCCGCACTTTTAAACACAAGATTGAAGAAAATAGGTCACTAGCACTCCATAAGTTAAAATGAATGAGTCCTTTTATTGGACAATGATGTCACAGAAATCCAACATGAGCCAACGTGGCTCATGTTGGATTTCTGTGACATCATTGTCCATTAAAAGGACTCATTCATTTTAACTTATGGAGTGCTGGTGACCTATTTTCTTCAATCTTGTGTTTTGCACGGTGCCATCCGTGAAGTTACTTCGAGCACCATTTATTTGATTGTTGGCCGGGACTGCTGAAAGGTGTGCGGAGGGCACCTCCATCAATCGCACTTTTAAACAGGCGGCCGGAAAAACATACAAAAACTTAGTTACAGACGGACTCCAGAAAAAAGCATCTAAGCCATAGAGAAGTCTAACTGAAGTACACAGCCAACAGAGAATTAAAAATCTCTCCACATTCTTTTGTGCACAATATACAGATGTAGAGCTGCAACAGTTAATCGACTTAGTCGATTAAAATAGACGTTTGAAAACGTTGGCAACGTTTTCGATCGTCGATTCGTCGGCTATCGATTGATTGGCCTGTTCAAGGCTCCACACGCGGCCTGAGTCACACGCTGCTCCCAATATACCCACCGCGCAGTCCTAAGCTGCCGCATAAGCCACGCCCACCGCACAGGCTGAAGCCGCGCATGCCGCTTGGTCTCCTCCTCGCCGTGAGCTCCCTCACCCGCCGCTTGCCCGCAGACGATCTAGGGCCCACCTTCCGAAAGTAAGTCAGGAGTGAACTACACTAGAAATGTAACTGTAGTGATCTGAATATAATGACACTTCCCTCTCTTTTCAATAATAATAGGTTTCCTTGAGAGATTCTGACTAAATTGAAAAAAGTGGTCACTATTAAAATAAGCTGATCCTTGCCTGGCCTCAATACAAACTAGTGCAACTTGAATGATGTTCCATTTTTCTCATGTGGCTAGCACTTTCCTCCCTGCTCACATAGGAAAGGACTGGCACCTGTGTACTAGAGCTGCAACAATTATTCGATTAAAATCGACGATGGAAAACGTGCGGCTAAAATTCAAATTTCCCGCTTGCCGCTGCGCGCCACCGCCAGTAAACCCGCTCACGCGACACCGCTTACGCCACGCCCACGCTGAGGACATGCATCTGGCCCTCTCCTCCCGGTGAGCTTCCCGACTCGCCTCTGCCCGCCGACAACCAACAACGCCGCTGCCCGCCGACAACACTGTCATTCAAAGTAAGTCGAGATCGGCCGGGAGCTTTTTGTTTCCTGTTGTGTTTAAAAAAAATTTTAAGCGGCACACTGCAGAACATTAGCAGCTATAGAGGAACAACAAATCCCACCAATAATACATTAAACAGCCTGTATAATGTATTATTGCTGGGATTTGTTGTTCCTCTATAGCTGGTGGTATTCTCCATTGCGCTGTATAATGCATTATTGCTGGGATTTGTAGTTCCTCTATAACTGGTCAGTGGTAATCTGCATTGCGCAGTATAGTCATTATACAGCGCAATGGAGAATACTACCAGCTATAGAGGACTACAAATCCCAGCAATAATACATTCTATACAGCGCAATGCAGAACACCAGCAGTTACAGAGGACTACAAATCCCAGCAATAATACATTATAGTATAATGTACTATTGCTGCATTCCTCTATAGCTGCTGGTATTCTGCATTGCGCCGCTGTATAATGTACTATATTGCACACCACACTTTTTTTTTTTACTTACACCGTGCCAAGCTTGCTCCCGTGATGGACTACAATCTCAATAGAAACTAGTAGTCCATCACTGGAGCCATTTTTTTTTAATCCGATTAATCGAACTTAATAAATCAGCTAACTAATCGACTATGAAAATAATAGTTAGCTGCAGCCCTATACAGATGTACATTTTCATGACTCCATGGTCCTGTTCCCCCGTCAAGCAGGATCTTCAGACATACACTGGCCTGACCAAATGTCTGTAGAAAAATCATGGTAAATCTGGATCATCAAAGGATAAATCAGAGTCAGAGTCGAGTTGTATAACTAGAGAGAACTCCCAGGATTTAATATTATCTTGTATGAGTCAACTAGCAGCCCTTTGTAGTAGCAGAAGAGACATCAAATAGCCTGAGGACACCCAGCAAAACTGGCAGGTGGGAGGGGTTATGTCCTTAAAGTGGGGGGCTTTTACATTTTTGCCTAGTGTCCATTTCTCCTAGAGGTAGTTGCAAAACCCTACGCCTCCGAATTCTTCAGAGCCGTGTCCCTAATTGGACAACAAAGAAAAATCTCTATCTACTATAACCAAACATTATATCTCCAGTCAGTTTGCAACAACCAAGACAAACATTCTGCTTGTTGAGTTTTGGAAGGGACTGCCGCAAAAATGTTTTTACCTTTTAGACATTACAGTAGCTGTTTTTCCAGCTTGTGTTTTATGGGGACAAATTAATGTATCCATATATTTATGACTTTACAAAATAGAATCATGTAAGAGATTTGACAATATGCATGTTTGTGACCCCTGAAAGAAATTGTGTACAATAGAATGGGAGTAAGCTGGAAGAAAAATAAAATTAGACAGAAAAACCTACAGAAAGCTGTCATATTATTTAAACATCATTCTAGGTAATGTAAATATTTAAAGGAACTCACATTAAGAATTCTAAGTTTGGGCCGTGAGGTTTTATCATGCCTTGAGCGGCTGCGCACAGACTTTCGGTAGTGCCGTTTGGTGGTGCGACCTTCGTGTCTACCACTGGAGCTGGATACTCCCTCGTTACCGTCACTGAGCCCAGATGCCACGTCTGAGTGGGCGCTGAGAGAAACAGTACAATGGTCAACAAGGACTGCAACTTTAAAGGGAACCTGTTATCAAGTTGTGAAATTATTTGGTACCCAGCCTATTAATTTTCCCAAGAAGCTTAGATTAATATGTCCCAGGCGTCATTCAATTTGAGTAAATTAACTACACTTTCTGGTTTACCCATATATAGCCGTCTTCACTGCAAAAAGTACACCAAGTGCGCCAAAATTGTATTTTTACCTGTCCATGGACGACACCACTTGGGTTGTTTGAGCTGATGGTATCTCAACATGTGGGCCCTGAAGAAAAGAAAAGACAAAAAAAAAAGACAAAAATTATCATCAGCAATTTTCTCTAGTGCACTACAATGGCCAGATGTAGACTTTCTGTATTGTCACTGCACTGTTCTTAGTACACGAATATCCTTGCTGCTGGGTTAAGGATGTCTGTGTTATTCCAGCAAGGATGCTAGAATGCAGACTATAAAATCATAAGTTCGCTAAGGCTTAAGGTGCCCATACACCTTACGATTATCGGACGAAACTTTTCGTCCGATGATCGAACCGTCGTACGGCGGCCCCATCCTGCCCCGATTATCGCAAGGTTCAATCAGCGGTAGCTAAAAAAAAAACACCTGGACGAATTGCGGTAATCGACCGCACTTATTTTCGTTTGCGCATGAGCAGTGTTAATCGTACGACTTTTGAGGGACGGAAACGCCACCAACCATGCGAAAATCGTACGATCGACAAAAGTTTTCAAACATGCTTGAACGTCAAAAGTAGTACTGTCAGTCGGGCACTGCACATACACCTTACGATTGTTGTACGAAAAGTCGATCGCATACGATTATCGTAAGGTGTATGGGCAACCCTTACATTTAGGGTCTGGCCTGAATGCTGAAGGCAGTTTTTATGCATCTCTCTGCCCCATTGCTGTGACTGATGGAAATCTGCCCACAATACCCAGGCTTGGCCAGCAGCCACTGCTGTAATTGTCAAGCAGTCTCCAATACACAGCTATTACCCAATCTTTTGCACAGCAGGGGCTGGAGTTGTGCTGAGACTAAATGGAGAAATAATGGTGTTGAGTTGTGTAATGCTCATCTCTGAGCTTAGGAGAAACGAGAGGAAGGAGGCTTTTAGATGCCATCAAGCTTTAAAGAGGGACCTTTACCCATATCTTTGAAATGACAACAAACACACCTTTGGAAATGTTTAGTAATGTCAATCTACAACACATACTTTATTCTACGCATACCTTATTTTTCTTTTTCTCCCCCATTCTTCTCACAGCGGCCATTTTTTACGAAGGGATCTCCCGTTACTCCCTGGAAATCTGGCACATGTGACTAGGACATGTAACCATGCACATCTCAGGGGAGGACCATGCCTTTCCCTGAGATCTTGTGAGATTACAGAGGAGATTTCCCGGCAATGCTCTGCGAATGTAACCTTCCCAGGATGCAACCCTTGGGCACAGATTACATCACTAATGCCCAAAAGAACCAGGGAGTGGAAAAACAGTAATTGTTAGTAAAAAAAAAAAAAAAAAAGTGTTGAACAAATGAATGTAAGATGATTTCAACTAATCAACACTCAATAGGAGTCAAACAAGTTAGTGGAGTAGTAGGCAAAGTCGTAAACTCCAATCAGCCAGCACAGTGAAGAATCCCCTCATTATGCATTAATAAAGCTGATTAGACCATTGTTCAACTGCTGATAAAATGCTATATGCCATGCGACAAAGCAACCTGCAGCTGCAACAATATTTCTCAATCCAGCTAATCAGCATCAATCTACCTCTAAGCCTAGAAACTATGGAGAAACCCTGTGCATAAATGCGACCACCACCATTAGTCATTTTTAAACATTTACTGTCTGTACTGACTAATCTTGGAGGTAACCATCTTGAAAAGACTGCATGTGATTATTCAAAGGTTGTGTAAAGGATCTGACAAGAGCCATGTAGCTGAATTTACTGTGTCAGTCTACCTCTGTAACTGCCTGTGCTTGGCTCCCATGCAGAGGTGCTGTTGGTTGCAGAGCTGGGACACCATGTGGAAGTACTCCACTGCCCTCCAGATAAGGCTGTGCTAATCCAGGTTTCGGAAGGCAGTCCGAACGGATGGTAGGGGACATTGATAATGACGGATAAACAGAGGCAGGAGGCAGCCCTGCCTCTACAGGCAGCTGAGAGGGTACAGGAGGTTGGAATGCCTGGGTAAGAAACAATGAGTAAAAAGTTTAATATTTGCACACACATACACACGCACGCACGCATACACGCACGCAATCTGATTATGAGGCATACAGGAATCATTCAACCCAAAACTAAACAACTTCTCAGTTTCCTAAATACCCTACACAAATCCACTACACTAAGGCAATTCCCAAGCCATTTAAACAGCTTGTGAACAGACACCCTAAGTTTCCAGCCTGGCCCATAGGGGACAGTACCTGATATGTAGCGTCTCCAGGAGGAAGCAGAGGCTCAATAGCTTGTCCCAGGGTGGCTGGCAATCCAACAGATGGAGGCACAAGATGCACAGGTAGAGGTGGGATCTGTGTTAAGGGCTGGAGAGCAACAGCAGGTATGTGGCTTTGAACAATAAATGCCTGTCCAGGGGGAAGCAATGGTGTCCCTAAGGAAGAGGGAGGCAATCCTGGCACTGCCTGGCCAAACCCTGGAGACATAGGCAGTGGCAGAGCAGGAAAGCTTGTTTGCATAATAGTGGGGGGCATGGTCATTGGTAATTGGGGAGGAGTGAACTGAGGGATTAGAGGGACGGCCACTAAAGGTTGAGTCAGGTGTAAATACTGGGGTGGCATGGGGGCAGCCGAGCTTGGGACAACATGTGGCTGTGGGGTGGCAACTGTTGGAGCAGGAACCACAGCATCTCCTTGGGCAGCTTGTAAAGGATGAAAGACTGGCAGCTGGGAATTAAGAATGAGTAAAAGTAAAGATGATTGTTTTTAGCAAGCAAGGTTCAAAAGCAGGGATAATAACGATTAAACACAAAAAAATGAAAACATAACATAAAAGGGAAGTCAGTTTTATAAAAACATGCAAGTCAAAATGCAGAACCGAAACCAGCCCATGAGTCTGCTATGAACAGACGGCAACAAGAGATGGGACATGAAATGTTGATGGCAAAGCTGAACTTAAGAATAACACTGGGAAAACAGGTATATACACAGTTTAAATACATGCATTGTTACTAATATAAATAAATAAAAAAACCTTGTAATTCTGATAAGCCAAATCCTGTGACCTACATACATCTGCCACACTGCACAGCTAGGCAGGGACACATTTCTTTGGTTCAGCAATGCAACTTCATGTGTCATCCCTGTGTCTGCTGACTGTTCACTGGACAAAACAATCCGTATCATCACACCTGTCCAATGAGCAGGGTGCTGACCCAAGGAGCAGGAATGCCAATCCAGGAAGAAGAATGATCTTTAAGAGCAGAAATGTGCATCACAAGGGTGGTTGGACACAATTACAAATACCTGGTTATGTAAAACAGGGAACATGTATTTGAACAGTTTCACTTTAACAATAATGTCACCAAACCCATAGATCTAAATTCCCTT